ATCAATTTCTTAAAGCTTTCTCAATGTCCCCCAACGTTTAGCGCTGGCCCTTGTACATTAAAAAAAAAAACTGTTCGGTAAGCACTAATTCAACAAATATTCACTGAACACAATCTATGTGCAACAAACTATCCTGGGTGGCGAATGGATTCGCCACCAAAATGATGGGTCTGGGAAAACAACTCTATAACTTAATTGCCAATTTGAAATCTACCTCAACAGATTTCCTTAAAGAGTATAACACCTAAGAAAGCACCTTTGGCTAGGAAGCTGTGGGACTCAAGATACTTGACTCTTTCCAATGATTCCAAAACCGGGAAAAAGCCCCTTTGCCTCTCATTACAAACAGCTGAAATAAGAGTTTTACATCTGTGCCCAAAACAATGTTGAATACAGAACCTTGTGGGGTCCCTGTCTTCTAGGCATTCCCTTGCTCTCTAGAGAGCACGAAAAGCCCTGGAGAGAGCTGGGCCTCTCCAAAGTCACAGAAGTGAGTGGTAAGGCTGCCCCAGGCGGGGAGGCCCCAGCTGGGAAGAAGCCGAGATGGTCCAGAATTCCTACAGGACTCAGGACTTCCTCTATCCCTTTATGCGTGAGACTAGTAACTTCCGGTAATTCATTCCCAACCTGGGCGCATCAACACAGCCCAGCAAAGTCAAACACCCTCCTTTGGGATCCCACCCACTTGGGAACAGCCTTCCACGTTTCTAACGCTCCTGTTGAAGCTCAGAGGATACTTAGGAGATGCAGATTCAGTTCCAGTCCGGCCAGGTACTCCCTGAGCGAGTTCGACTGAGTTGTCAAAGGGAGACAATCAGACCTGAACTGCAAACTTCAAAGGGGAGGTGTGAGGATGACCTCAGATAACGGATGGGAAAGTAATTTGCAAAGTTAAAATCACCGTGGGAAGGTAAGAGCGATGGTAATGCAGGAAAAGAGGCTCCACTGAGAAAACGTCTGCAACTGAATGGATGGTTCAGTCCGACCCAGAGTTTACTGTCCTTTCCTTATAGTCTGTCTGTTTCATGTAATGGTGACTGATTAGGGCTGTGTGCACGATGCTTCGTGTATATACAGATGAAGAAGCGGCAGATCCCACTCTCATGGACTTTATGTGGGAGAGACGTGCACGTCTGCGATGTGTGGACAGCGCAGAAGGGCTACAGAAGCACCTGGAGTCTGAGAATAAGGGAACTGGACGGTGGAGGGGGCGTCTAGAGCGGAGAGGAGAGGGTGGAGACAGCCTCAGAGAGTCTGGAAGCCACTCCCCCATGATAACAGTAGCACCCTCAGAGGGTCCTCACTTCGGGAAGTGGCCTGTAGGTTTCACACAGTTTTATCTTAAAAATTTTCCTGAGCTACAGTAAGTAAGTAAATGGGAATAAGGTCTTCATTCATACATCCAGTGCACATTTACTGATTGCCAGGAACAGCGCTAGGGATACAGTGGTGACCAAGAGACAGCCTCCGTGTTCAACAGCTTGTAGACTAGTGGGCTGACCAAAAAGGAAGCCAACAATTCCAGTACAGATACTAAATGAGGGTCAGAGGAGGGGCACCCCAGGGGCTTGGCAGGGTGTGGGGGGAGGTTCAGGGAAGACCCTTGGAGGAGATGAAGTCTGCCCTAACTCTTTAAGGATGAGTGGATGCCTGGTGGACGACAGGGGTGGGGAGGCAGCGGGGGAGTAAAGGGCATTCCAGGCAGAGGGGCCAGCACACACAGAGGAGCAAGGGGCACGAGAGACAAGGGAGAACGGACCCAGGAATGAAGGGGGGGCAGCCAGATCCAGAAGGCCTTATAAGCCATGGCTCGGAGTTAAGCCTTTATCCTGAAGATGATGGGGAGGGTATACAGGGTGAGAACAGGAAAAAAATCAACCAACCAGCCAAGAGGAAGTCCCCTGAGGAACACCAATATTTAAGGGGCAGACAGAGGCAGAAGTGCCTTGAACAGTCAGAAAAAAAAAATCACATCCACAGAGTTGTCACTCTTTTCACAAGTCTTGGGTGACAAAGTGTCAGCTGGGATTATCCATTCCACGTTAGAGCTGGAGAAAACAGGACTGAGAAAGATTAAATGCCTGATCAGGCCACACTGTGAATGAGGGAACCAGAGCCTGAACTCAGCACACTAACTCCTACCAAATTTATCTGCACAGACTTTAATTTCTTTCATCCTGAGTCAAATTCCTGAACCTCTAGACACAGGTAGATCTCCTCCAGGTGCACTTTTCCCTTGTCACTGAAGCCTAAGATCATTATCAAGGTATGTGGTTCCAAGGAGGGCTATGATCCCAGGACACAGCTAAGCAAGATTAAGTCACTATCCTTAATTCCACTTAATTCTCTCTCCATACCATAATATAGACAGGCAGACAGACACACACACAGGAAGAGAAAGGGGGAGACAGGGAGGAGGACGGGAAAGAGAGAAGCACTTGGCTTGAGGCCAAGATCTGGATCAATGATCTAAGATCAGAGTATCAAATGCCTTCTTCCAAGCAGGGCCCACCACTGGGCCACCCTGCTGAAAGGCAGAGACGTGGACGGGTGGGTGAGTAGATGGCGCAGGAAGGAAGCAGGTGCCCATTAAACAAACAGGGAGTGGGTGGGCTGCACGCACAGAGGAAGCAGAGAACAAAGACCTCTCACTCTTCATGCAAAGTCCACAGTGTGCAAAGGGCACCAATGGTGGACATTTCTCACTGTGACGTTTTGAAAGCCCAGCCTAGCTCTGAACAATGGTTACCCTCTGGGGACCACAGGCTGTGTGCCCCTAGGCTTATTCAGTGATGGCTGGCACATCCCATGTGCTTGGTGAACTTGACCTTGGGCATCAGCCTCCTATGATGGCTCTACGTCACTCTGGTCTCTTCCCCCACTGAGAATTCCAGTCTGGGATGAATGGATGGATTCATTCTGAGAGCAGGAAAGCCACTCCAGGAGTGAATCAGAAGGACCCAGCCCCGGTCTCCTTGCCAGCCATTGAGCCAGGAACTGAGTGCAATTGTGTGCCCAGGCGCCGGTGCTGTTCCCCTCTCAGGGAGAGGGGGTCAGGCTCCACGCAAGAGATGACGTAGAAGCCCTCTAAGGAGGAAGAGAAAGGAATCTCAGCTTTGAGGGACAAAGCTACCCTTTTGGTTGTGACCTTCAGTCCAAGGAGGTGCCAAGATGTGAGCGTACTGGTAATTCTGCTGGATAAAATCTCAGCTTTCGCTGGACAGTTAGTTGTCAATTTCAATCCTCTCCAGCCTGACAGACTTTAGGAAACAGGCTACTGGTTTTTCCAGAAAAGAGATTTCTGTAAGACAGGTGGAAACAATGCGCCTCAGGTCACTCAAAGAGTCCTTTACCTTTAGTGGTTTCTACTCTTCTCTCGACTTGTGAAGAAGAGATCGACTTCATTTTAAAAATTGCAAATGCTAATCTAAGCAATATAAAGCATCTGTACTTTCTGCTTTTCACCTTGAGAGATTAGGCAAGAGAACTCCAAATATTCAAGACGCAGCAGGCAAGAAGACATCTAGCCACAAGGCCAGGGGACGCAGGCTGATCCTTTAAGGAAGTAATTCCTCTAGGAAGGGGAACTGAAGGGCTCCCTGTCACTAGCTAGGTTATAACAAGACGGGAAAGAGAGCTTTTCAAGTCTCCGGCCCCCTATTGGCCTCTTGGAGCAAAGGTGGAGGGAAAGGAGCAGCTCCTGCTGGGGCTTATTAGGGGATTGCTCGGGGCTGCCCTCCACGTGCTGGCACTGATTGTCTGCCAATTGTCCGTCAATCTTCCTCTAAGAAGCAGGGGCGAGGAGGGGACAGAAATGGCTTAAATTTTACATTAGAGAGCTGTCCTGACACTGACTGACATCAGCTGTTTGTGGTCAGAGCTCAGTCTCCACTGATGGCCCAATGTGAGCCTGCAAAACCCTTCCTGAAGAATATTCTACTATCTTCACTCATGCATAACTATTGTGCACTTACTTTTTGTAAAGAAACAGGCTAGACTCTGAGGAGAGAGTAGCAAACATGTCCCCTACACTAATGGAACTTGGATTCCAAAAGGGTTGATTCATCTTGCACATCTCCAAGGGTCGATGTACAAACACAATATAGTTGGATCCCCTGAGGTTTGCAGTTGTGGATATGTGGGCCCTTGGGCCTGAAGGTAAGGACCTTTGGGCTAACTGAGTCTTGCAAAATAAATCAACTATTGTGTTTACTATGAAGTACCTGCTATGAGTCAAGTATCATATAGTTCCCTGGCAATGTACGTGCCAGCTCTGGAGTTACAACTTTACCACTCTGAGACTCCCTGGCTTCTTTTCCCGTAGCCCGATAGTTCCCATAAGGTTTAAGCTTACCCATGCCTATTTAACAGGGAAAGTAATGAGTGGGTAGTGGCCCTGGGAACGGTTAAAACTAGTCCAATCCCCTACTCGGAGTGTGGGTGTGTGCTTCTGGCCCCTTCCAAAAGAGAAGCAAGTTTTGTCTTTTGAAGACTACGTCGGGCCAAGCCTAGTCATCTGAAAGCGAGTGGCTTTTGAACAGTGAACTGGGCCCAGAATGCAAGAGTGAGGGCCACAGCTCTGGGGCTGATGGCAACGGTGGAGAGACGCCCACGGGGGAGAAAGAAGTGGCTATTTCTCAGTGGCTATTTAGAAGAGGAGGGAAGAGGGAACTCCCTCACTTCACGCAGCTGAGAGAAGACCGACGAGACCGGCTCCTCGGAATAGAGTCGGAAAACAGACGCGGGAGCCCAGGCTACGGGGATTCCCTCGCCCCACCTCCCAAGCCGAGTCCTGCCGAGAGACGGAGCCTCGGGGAAAGCACTGGAGAAAGGCCCTTGAACGACCCTGCAGCAGGGACCAGTCTGGCCCCGCTCCGGGGCGCGGGGTCCGCAGGCAGGGCTGGCAGCGCGGACCAAGAGACTCAGCTCAGACGGACGCAGGGAAAAGCGCACCGCGGGCCAGGGGCTCCAGCGGCCCCCGCGGCCTGGGCCTCACTCACCAGCTCATGGTCCCGAACCTGGCCCTGCCGCCGGAGTCCTCAGCCACGGCTCGGTCCTCGGGGATCACTTCCGGATTCAGCCAGTCTCCAGGAAGTGACGTAAGCCCCGCCCCCTCTGCCCGGAAGAGGCGGTCGGGGGCGGGCCCCAGAGCATTAACCCTTCCACTGCCGGTGCGTCCCCGGAGTTGCTCTGGCCGGCGACCCTCATGTGCCAGAGTCCCGGAGGACTCAGCCTGTGGCGGGGGCTTGAGGACCCCTGAGTGCTTTCTCTGCCTTAAACACTGACTTTTACAATCCTCTTTCTTAGACTACACGTGTCGCTTAACTGGCTATTGCCTCAGCTTTTCAGTCTGTAGAGAGATTTCTCATCGGGGACAGTGGCAGTACTAATTGTCGAGGGGGTAAGGAGCGTTGGAGGAGAGGGTGTGAGGGAGACTTACATTCACTGTGTGGTCTTTTGTATCTTTTAAATTTTGTACCCTGTACATGGTTACCTGTTACCATCAAAGAAACAAATGGATCTTTTCCCTCCTCCCCAAGATGGCACAGAAATAGAGTAGGTGCTGTTCAGGTTGGAATGTTATGCGGATTTACTCGACAAAAGAGGGTGAAGAATGAGGGTTGCTCCCAGTCTTCCAGTCCTTCCCTCTGTGCTCCCCGCTACAGAACCCAAATGATGTGAATGGTCCCTCTCTCCCTATTCATTCATTTAACAAATATTCATTGAGCTCCTAGTGTGCCAGGCACTGTGCTAACTTCGAGGATACAACCATGAAAAAACAGTATGGACCCTGCCCTCATGTCCTCCCAGAGCTACTTACCTATAGGGAGAGGTAAACAGGGAACTAAGTAATAATACGTGATGGAAAAGAGTAGGGTGCTCTGGCAGCCTGTAAGGGCCCCCCTAAACTGCACATGGGGTGTTAGTGAAGGCTTCTAGGAGGAGCCGAAGTGTAAGCCAAGTCCTGAAGGCAAATCACACTAGCCAGGTGAATGAGAGGGGAGGGCTGGGGAGGAACTAGGGAACTCATTGTGGCTGAGACGGTGACTGAGTTTCAGACAAGCAGCTTACTTGCTTCTAACCTGTTTTGGGTCAAGTTCGCCTTGTCACACACACAGCCCGCATGCCACACCCCAAACCTCCCTGCCTTAGAAGAGAGAGCAGCAGGCAATGAGGCTGCCAGTAACTGCTGGGCCCCCAGGGGCCTTCTATCTAGGAACTCTCCTCCTTCAAACAGACTCTAGTGTTTTAGGGGCTGCTTGGAGAGTAGCTAAGCCAATAAGCTAGAGTAGAAGACATGCATAATTTGTTCTGCTCTCCCAGGGCAGATTGGAGGGCTTGGCCAGGAGGAACAGGGGAGCTCAGAAGATTGTCCACAGAAAGTAGTCTCATTTATATTTTCCGTTTTCATTTGTTAGGGTGTAGAGTATGACTCAGTAGAGGTTTTCCAGTGGAGGGTTGGCTCCCAAGCACATCACACAGATCAGCTTCATCCCATGTTATCCCTCAGGAAACAGGCCAAAAAAGGCACTAAAGCAGCCTTGAAGAGTAAAAAGAAGGAAGAGAAGTCATCAAGGGGCAGCTGGGGCAGACAGTGGGGACAAAGGGAGAGACAGCTTTGCTGCTTTGCACAGGGTGTGTTGGGTGGACGGAGGATGCTGTGTGTTTATGAGCCTCCTGGAATTCCAGCACCTGTGGATGGCTCTCCCACCTGCTTGCTCCTTTCTCCATACTTGGTCTCCCCTAGTTATTGCCCCACAGTGCTAAAGAATTTCCATGTTCTAGCCTAGGCAACTGCCAACGTGCAGGGGGAAGTCTGTTTCAGGGATGTGGGGTGGAAACCACATCCTGCAGGACAAGAATGATGCATTCTGGACTAAGAATCTGGAGGAGTCCTGGACTCTAGTTCTTTGACCCTACAGCTGACCTCAGACAAGTCACATTTCCTCTCTGGCCTTTGGTCCCCTCATCTGGAAGACGAATGGGTGAATCACATCATCAAAGTCTCCAGTATTTTGAGGTTCCAAATCAACTGTCTTGTTGACTCCAAGGCCCTCCGGAAACTGGAGAATGGGGGAGTCCTGTGAGATAGGGCCTGAACAAAGAAGCAGGCTCAGAGAAGTGAGCAGGTCGGAGGAATCATTGATGTTTTGGGATGAAGCTAAACATGTATCTTCTGGAAGGGAAAGATTCAGCCTGAGGCCCCACTGGGGCTGTGCTGCTTACCTTCAACCTCAAAACTTTCACGTAGCCAGCAAGACCTTTGAGGGGACTGGGGAGAGTCCTGGCATCCCAGGAGTCTGTAAGGAGAGTGCCTGCTCTAAGCTGGGCACCATCTCCTTATCTGTGGCTCATTGGCTGAGCTTGAGGCGCACTGGGCTGAGGGTGGATGCTCGACAGAGGCAGGCATCCTGCTCTCCTGTGGACCCACAGACTTCCCTCTGTGAGCATGGCATGCCGTGTGGCATTGACCCATGGGGAGCCAAACACGAGGAAGCACAAACATCTCCCACTATTGTGGAAAACTCAGCTGCAGGATCTCCGAGCCCAGGGTCAGGAGCTATGTCTTTCTCTTCTGTAAACAAAGACCAGCACAATACAGGTTGACCCTGCCCCTTCAGGGGGTGGGGTGGGCTAGGATACAAGTAAATTCAGCCTCCACTTGAGTGGAGGAGCTTAGATGCTCCTGGTAGAAGTAGATACTCCTGGTTTCAAGCCTGGTGACAACTGCTTCCTCCCTAGAAGTCTGAGCCATCAGTTAATTGAATGTTCAGGTGGCAGAGATATACTTTAGGGGACAAAGCTATTTACCAGAGGGAATGCAGCTGAAAAAGCAGCTCTGCCATCAGACCCCTGACTTCTCTTTGGAGGTTCTGAGTCAAAAATTGGTATGCAGATGCTCCGCACAGACCCTCACCTCTGAGCTCGTCATCTATGCCCTCTCCCAGCTTCCCCACACAGAGGTCTAGGGCTGACCTTCCAATGCTCCCACCACGCCAGCCTCTAAGCAGCTTACAGTAAGGATTCTAGAACTGGACCTGGGCCATTAGGGACTTTATTAGAGCATAAGGCTAAATTAAAGGGACGAAGTATGAAGGGACCAAACTGATGGGCTGAATTCCCTTGTAGCCCTGAAGGCCTTCGTGCTCTTAGCATATATTAAGACACAGACCCTCATGTTTCTACTTTCACTCCCCACTTCTCCCTGCTCGGCACCTACTCAGTAGGATACTTCAGAACAAGAGAATTTCCTGAGCAATGGTGGGCCAAGGACATGGGGGAGAAGCAAGGGCAGGAGAAGATGGAGGATACCAGAGTTTAACTTTCCAGTGGTGGGAAGCCCACATGGATGGCTCAAAGGTCAGGGTGAAGTGCCAAATCAAAAGTTGGGCTGGCAAGCAGCAGTCAGGGCCAGGAAGAGCTGTCTGGACCCTGGCTCTGCCTCTTAGCAGCTTGAGGGAAACTATTCCCTCCTTGGCGCTTCACCTTCCTCGATGGTAATATAAAGAGTCCAAGTTAGATCTTGGATTGCTTTTTCCTGGCTGCCTGGAGTGCTGTGTTGAGGATTCTGGGGAATCTTCCATTGGTGGGGAAATTCTGTGATTGATTAGCAATGTCTGCCATGGATGAGTAAGGGGAATGTGATGCTATATGGTCCACTTTATTATTTTGTTGTTATTATTTTTATGAGTTCATTGAGCACTCATGATATGCCAGGCACTGTTCTAAGCAGTTCACATTTAATCTCTACAGCAGCTCTATGAGGTAGGTACTGTTACTGTCAGCATGAAGCACAGTTAATAAATTGTGTGATGAAGATTCCAATGTGGGCAACCTGGCCCTGACCCTTATGCTTTTTGCCAGTATGGAATACCACCTCTTGTTGATCCCTGAGGTTCCCGAGGATCTACGGTTCTGTCAAGGAAAAATGGGGTCCGAAGCCAGCAGACAGATAGAACCAGTAGATGCACAGGCACAGAGTGGCTGGGCTGGGGTGGATGGCAGGCCAGCTCATGACCAGGCACCTAACAAGAGTTCTGACCCTCGGCCTCGTCCTGGGAGCTTTTATATGCTTCCTCTAGTTTGGAGCACTCAGGACCAGCAGGTGGCAGCACCTGGCAGGGTGAGAGGAAAGGGCAGATTCTGGACTTGGCATGGAGAGTCCTTTACGGGTCAGGCAGCCCCGATAATGAGAAGAGCAAGAACAGATGAGGGTGTGGAGGAAGGCTAGCCAAGGGCCTGGAGGGGGAAGGACCAAGCCTCAGACCCACAGGGAGCTGCCATGGCCAGTGCTTCAGTTCCACCCGCAGCGTGAGCCTCTCAGCTTGCATTTCATGGTGTCTGCTGTGGGCTTTTTTTTCCTCCACTCTGGGAGAATGACTAACTTTAAGGACTAAAAAAAAAAGTGTTTTGATTACACTGCCTTTTTACCAACTGGGAGCATTAGTCACCGTGGATTGCTGCAGATAACGGGGAAGGCAAGCAGCATCCTCCTCCTCCCCCTCCTGCTCCCTGATTAGCTCACAGAAGCCAGGGAGGAGACGCGAGTGAGAGAGAGAGAGAGAGCGCGCGCACCAGGAGGGAAAACAATCCCCCCGGACAAGGTGTGCCCCCGGCATCAGTCCAAGGGATCTTGGTCAAGTCTGGGCAGCCCCTGGCGACTTACCCCACAGTAGGAGGTGTCCACTGGAAAGAGCTGGTGGGAGGGGACCTGAGCCCACTGCTCCCAGGGTCTGAGTTGGCTTTGGGTGGCCTGTTCCTCCAGGTGGGTCCAGAGTCCACCAAGAGGAAGTCAGAGGAAGTCCCTGAAGATGCAGCCCCTGGGGAAGGGCACTGGTGGCTAAAAAGAATGATGGAGAGCACGGTGAAGCCATGGTGGCTGTGATGTGGGGCTGGTACCAAGCCCCATGATGTGGGGCTAAGAACTGCCTTGGTCTGGGGCTCTCAGGGCTCAGACTGCAGTTGAGAAGTTCCCGCAGGTGGTGATGGCACCTCACACTCCAGCATTCTCCCTGCCTCTCCATCCCCAAGGGGGCAGTATCCAGCACATTGACCTCACCTTTCTACTCAAAGTGACCTTTTG